CCAGGACAGCATATTCAGTGTGAGCATGGAACGGTTATGAATGTGAGCTTTTGAATCATAGATCTTCACACTAGAAAGTGGAAATGTTATGATCTTATAAATCTTAGGGCTAGGGATTTTGTACAGAGTAGAAACTTGAATTTGTATGATCTTGGGCATGTTGAAAACACCTCTAAGTTTCAACTGCCTATCTATCAAGATGATAACAATGATGACCTAAGAGATATCTCGATGATTAAGTGACATACTATGTAGCAGAGAGGAAAATGCTTAATATGCAGTAGCTTCTAGATGACTATTAGCTTTATTTTATTTCAGAGATTTTAAATTCTATATAGTTGGAACTTGCTTGGAGTAATCTCAGTGCCTAAGTAAATTCATGTCCACATATACCCTAAATTAGTGAGTTGGATGGCTAAAGTTTGAAAACCAGCTGGTTAAAAATGAAATGTATCATCTTACTCTACCTACTCACATTCTTACCAGTCACTAATGTTTAGAAAATGAGCTACAAGTTTCATTGGGCCCACATTGACCTAGTAATCCTATTTTTCCTATTCTTTAGGGACTGATAACCTATCCCTCTCATCTACTGCCATCTTGAAATGTGTAGCATGTCCTCTTTCCGTCTGTCAGAAAACTCTAATCTCTATAAGTTGTTCTCTTGGATTTTCTCACTGGTGTTGAGGTTGGTGCACCTTGTACATGGGTTGCTAAAGGTTGTGCTTGCTAGAATGCTTGGTTGCACTCAGCAAATCCTGCAGAGGTTTGGCCTAACACTTTGGACTGGCTTAACACATGTACTCACGATCTTCAAGTTCCTGACCTCTTCCAAAATTCAGCCATGTAGCAAAACCTCATTTCATATCTTGTTGCAGGCATGCCCAGTGTCTGTGCCCTCTTAAAAATTTATTAAGTAGAGGCAAGTCCTGACCAAAACTTTTCACTTTTTTATATCCTGTGCTGGTTTTTCTTACCTTTCTAATCTGGTACACTTCAAATCTAGAAAGTTTTCATAAACTGCATACAATAATAACTGGATTATTGATCTTACCATGATAGCCACAATAAAGGAGTTTCTTCTCCTTCTATTGTCTCACCACATACTCTGATCAGACCACTCAGAAGACATTTATGAATGTAACATTCAACTGCGGATTGCTGACCACTTCTGCAATTGTACCTGGCAATACTAGGACCAGTGCAGAGTGTAACATAGACAGTGCAACTTGTGGCCACAGATCATTTCATCTTTCTAAACACATGAAATACCCGCTTTCCCCAGTTCTTTGTAGTTGCTTGGAGACATGTGAGTTTTTTTCTGGAAGTTGAATGGAACTGATACGTGATTTCTACACTGAGGCAGTTAAGCCTCACTATGGTTGACTTGGAGTGCATGTGCTCACAACACCATTGCTGTAGAAGAGTTTGATAGAGCTCACCATTGATAGAGAAGAGCTTCCCAACCCACACTGGATTGTAATGAGAAATAAACTTGCTGTGTTGAGTCACAAAAGCTCCAGGATCATTGTTACCATGCAGCATCTAAGTTTTCCTGACTAATATAAGAGATGTTTCTGTCCTCCTTAGTATTTAAGAGTACTTCCTCAGGCTTTTGTTATTTGAAACTGTCGTGTCGTTCAGACTTAAGGAAACTGGTATAGAAACAACTTTCCTTTGATGCGGAATTCTGATTTCCTTCCATTTTCTTCTGGCTCATTTTCTTTTTAGGATTTTTTTCCTCTTTTGTCACTTTCCCACTATGTTCCTGTGACAAAATAGTTCAGTCAATAATCACTGAACTGAACTGAGTTCTGGAGCTCTACTTTCTCAACTGCCTCCTAAGAAAAGTTTCTGGAGAAATCCACCTACCCCTTTTCCAGACTGGCACAAGAGATACAACTGACTGTCACAGGAGCTCTTTCTAACACTTGGCCAAGTCTTTCTATTTTCCTCTTTTTAAAATTAAATTATTTTCATTTTGGGGGGTAAAATGGAATACAGACATTTCTCAAAAGGAATAGCAGCCACTGGAATCACATCTTTTAGAACACTTCTCAGTAAAATCAGATTGAGTAGGAGTGCGTGGATGTGGGCACCACATTGCAAGCACCGTTAATTGGGGTGAAGAGATTACGTCCAACTATCCACATCCCGAGCCTCCTTCCACCACACACACACATTCAGGGCCACAGAAGGACACTGAAGCCAATGGAAGGCAGTTGGCTGTGCTAGAAGAGGCCTGTACAGCATAACTGTGACTCCCTGCTCTTTAGCCTTCAATTGACCACAGATGCCAGTCTCATTGCCCAGGCAATGAGATCCTGTATCATCTGGTATAATAGCTCAGTTCTTGGTGGTCCTTTGGTCTTGGTCCTCACTCAGATCTTAGACCACCATTCCATGTCAAATTTCACTAACAATCCATGACTTCTGTTTAAGGGACTTACAAGCCTCTGTCAACATTGGTTAGCTCATATCCCTGAGTGTGAAGAAGGTGCAGATAATGGCTGATTCCCTGAATTTCAACTCTGTCCCTGATTTTTTATGTCTCATAAGCCCTTATTTTTCTCACAGAGAACATCCTGAATCTTGATTAACATTCCTTTTAACTGGTTGGTTTTAATAATGACTTTGAGCTGAAAACTATGTACACAACTTAATTTGACCTTAATAAGGCACTGGGCCATTCTCCACATCTGAGGGGCAGGCTCTTGAGGGCCTTCTTATGGCTTATGGTTTTTGCATTCATGAATCACCAGAACACATTTACCTGCAGATTGAACCTTCATAAAGAGAACAAAATTATGAGAGTACAACTACCCTTATCTATCTGGCCACTGCCAGCAACAAAGGTGTTTGTAAGAGTTAGAAAGTGAAAGAGCTTTAAAATATATGTGTGTGTGTGCCTGAGGGAATGTTAGGAAATTCCCCTGCCTGCCTGCATAGCAGTACTAGAGGGCTTCTGAAACTCTGTCATCACTAGAGTCTACGTTTGGGTTTCAGACTGCACTGAGTCTAAACCATGGGATGTTAGAGGAAAATTAAACCTTGACACTTAAATTCTTGTCTTCCCCAGTATCCTGCTTCTGCTTACTTTTCACAATTCTCAATCAGTTTTATGCAGGTTTTATTGCTGTTACAAATGGAAGAGACAGAGTATGCAACCTTACGCTATCCTATATGCAACTGTGATCTGGAAATAGTTTAGATAGCAATATTGGGAGAGCTGTGAGATTTATGTGAGATATCATTCAGGGTCAGCGAGGAGTACCCTAGGAATGTAAGTTAGGATGACCATCACCCAAATGAGGACACATTTCCAGAGTGAGAGAGCACTATGGAATTATACTTGAACAGCAGATGTAATCAGGGCCACCTTTATTAGAAGATAAACAGGAAAACCAAATTATTTTCTCATTGTATCCTACCAAGTTCAACTGTTTAATTACTATCAGATTCCTGTAGCTATAAAACTTGTTTTGGTTATCTGCTTAGCTTAGATTGATTTACATGTAAAAAACAGAAATAATTCCTATCCTGAAGGTTGGTTTGTACCTTCAGTATACCTACTAATCTGGAAGAAACAAATTCCGTAAAATTTTGGAGCTTGGTAGTTCCTCTTTTGTGTATGTGAAGCTGAGACTCAGCTTGAGATTCCTTAAAGCTAAGAACAAACCTCCAGACCTCTGCATACATCAGTTATAGCAGTCTGTATTTTAAAATAAAATAAACCTACATAAATTGGCCAAAAGAAAATCTTAGACAGGGTGGCAGGAAAAGCAGGGCCATCCCTGAGCACAATGGCATGAAGACAGTGTGGGTTCTTCCCGCGGAAACCCTGCAATGAGTCTTCCCACAAGAACTTCCTTCAGGAATAATTTATACCCTTTAACTCATCTTTAACTGTCTCACTGAAATTCTCAACAAGGATGTTGCTTGATGCCAAAGCCATGGTGGTTTCTATGATGTGGGAAGCTCTGTGAAAAGAGGAGTTCAAGAGCAATTCACACAGGCCCAGAGTAGTGGCCAGAGGGTGGTGATAGCCGGCCCCTCTGAACCTGCATCATATTCATACAGTAGATGTGACAGATAACTCGTGAATGAGTCCAGAAGTCGCTTTTTTTATTGCTCACATGAATCACTCTACTCTCTCAGGGAGAGTATGAAGTTTTTGCATTCATGAATCACCAGAACACTTTTACCTGCAGATTGAGTTTTCAGAGAGCAAAAGTTTGAGAGTCCAATGAACCTTGTCTATCAGGAACAGCTACATGGAACTCCAGCACACCCCACTGGCACTTAGCAGGACTTTCCCTGAGCCCAGCCAGGCCTGAGGTCCATGTGAGGAGGGCCAGCTCCAACAGCAGCTGACTCAGACAAAGGTTCTGCTCCACACAGCACCATCCTCGCTGTCTCGTCACCATGCAAACATATTTCCTGGACTCCGCCTTGGCTGCTAACTCTCCTGACCATCTCTCTGCACTTTGTAAGAAACAGCTAGTCCATTTCTTGGCTCCTCATTCATCTAATCATCTTGGCCTAGTGGGCCCACAATTCCAGGGCCCTGGGGTAAAGTGGCTGTCTACTTCAGGCCCTGCACAAAGGTTTCTGCTCAAAGGGAAACACAGTCCTGCAAAGAGCCCTCCTCTTCTCCCCAAGTCTTGCATCTTAGCACACAAGGGGAAGAACTCTTTCTTCTGGTTCATCCCCGAAAGGGGCACTTCCCACAAGGACAGAGTAGAGGCCAAATGTGGCCCCATCTGCCCCCAGCCCCTCTCACCTCTTCCTTTCCTATTTGCCGTGTGTGCTCCAGTTAGCAGGGGAACAAGGAGGGAGAAATGTCTTCTTTTCAGCAAAGCTTTAGGCAATGTTTAAATCACAGGTTTCCAGTGAAATACACAGTGGACCTGAGAGCCCACAGCTACAAAGAAAAAGTAGCTAGCTGTATCTGTTGCTTCTGCTCAGCCCACTGGAAATTTTTAGGGTGCTGTGTGTGCTGCATGGAGAATTCATTCTGCCTCTATCAGGTTCAAGAAATCCGAGGTTATGACCACAGCTTCTGTGTCATCCAGCGCCCGTCAAGCTTGCTCAAGGCTAGCAGGAATCTTTCCATTTTATATCTGCTCCATCGACGCTGTCTGTCCATCAACTTCTCTCCTCACCAGGGACTGGAGGGAGCTACTTCAGGGCTCAGCCATCATTTCCTAGGCTGGGAGCTCCTCCCAGTGGCTTCTTTGTTTCTGTTGTTGTTTTCTTTTTGTTTTTTGTTTTTTGTTTTTTTTTCCAGAGAAAAATCTCAGAATGATTCTTAGTCAGCTTCACATGAATCCTTTAGATTTTTTCACAGGCATGTGGTAGCGTATTTGTGTCCAGAACCTGGAATTTGAAGGAATTGATTTTAAGCCTTTCCAAGTGACCATGGGCAACACCCTAAGTGCTTTTTTCACTAGATGAGGTAGAGTATCTGGCTCTTGAAAGGAACAGAACTTAATTAAAACTAGTTTCAGCGTTTGATCATCCAAGGCAAGATTCACAGCTGCTTGTAGTTCAAAGACACCAGGTCCACTGAAATAGTCTGGGCTCAAGATGAATATTCCTCTCCTACTTTTCTTAATAATGTCCACAATGTCTTCTGTATACACTGGAAACAAAGAATTTAATTATTTGCAATTGTTCTTGGGAAACTTGAGTCACAATAAGCCTGAATCTCCCAAATCCACCCACAGCATTTCTTGAAATGAACACTTTTCTGTCAGAAGAGAAACCTATGCTACTAGCTCAATAGTTGAAGGTAGACTCTAGGGTTCAGTGATTCCCATTTCAACATTCTTTCCCTTGTGTTCTGTCACTTCCAATTGTCAGTTCCTCTATGTTCAAGCTCATTAGACCAAGGTAGGCTGGGATAACGGAGAGGCATGGAACGTCCCAGGCATCAGAATGATTGTCTGAGGCAGAACTAGTCAGTGGAACAAAATGATATCTGTGTCTCTCATGAGTGCCCAAGGGCTGAACCCAGTTCTGAGGAGCCTGCTTAACCCAGGATTATAGGTCCAGAAAAATATCTTTGCTCTGGAAGGCCTCCTAAGGACATAATATACAGGTGATTTTTTTTTTTGTAAGGATTTTTTTTTTTTTTTTAATGACGATGATGGAGCATGGCTCTCCAAAAGTGCTTTTCTATGTTGTTACCCAAGATGTCCTAAGTCTGAAAACTTACAGAAGCTGTAGCTACCTACAGACAAAATGACAGAAGAAATTAGGGAGTACTTGCATTTAGCTATCATTTTTGCTCTTTATTTTTCCATCAAAACCTACCTCCTCCGGGGACCACATCTCTTTCAAGCAAGCACAAGGCATAGCCATATTTGTTTTCCAAAACTTCAGGGAACAAATTCAAAGCCAAGTTTTCTTCACTCAGAGATACAGCAGACTCATTCTCAAAAGAACTGCATTTTGCATAGGATATAAAGGCATCAAATTCCTTTTTGTCTGAGGAAGAGGGCAAAAAACCATTTCCTTATTGTTTATTATGGTGCTATTCCTACATGTGCTTGAACCACACTGAATTGATGTAAAAAATAAAAAGCAGCAGCTATATTCATTTCAATATCATCTTGAGTGGTATTGAAGATCTTCTAAGTTAGGAAGCACTTCTTCCTTGTCACTGAGTTCTGATCTAACAGCCAGGCCTTCAATGACTAAAACGCATGTACTTGGGAGTTCTTCTGAGCTTTCTTTGCATCTGCAATGTTGCTAGTTTATTAGTTATACTTCAAAGAAGAGTCTGGTCCATCAAAGTATGATACTATCCAGTGAGCAAAGCACTGCTAATACAGCGCCTCACACATGAGAGAGTTGAACACACATATACCTCTATTGCATCCCAGATGCCAAATGAGATTATAACTCCCTGGCAAGCTGCATTCAGGTTGATGCAATCATGGGCATGAAGTACTTGATGCCAGGCTCATAGCAGGTATACCAAAATATTCTTTCCTCTCCCCTTTAGATGGGAAACTATACTTCTGAAACCTGATTTAAAATATTCTAAATGTCTCATGTCTGTTGACGAAATTACTACAAATGCACATTGACAATACTAGGATATGCTAAAGTATGAACTGAAAGTGGTGGAAAATCTCAAAAGTTAACTCATGGGCTTTGGAATTAGACACATCTAGTGGGTATTCAGTGCTTTGCACAAGGCCCAGCGAAGAGTATCGTTTCAAAATGAAAAACAATAGTGATTGCAGTGTCATTGATATTTCTCTTGCTCAAGGTAGACCTAAGGAGAGGCTTGAGTGGTGAATGTGCCAACAGTAAAAAAGGCAGAGGGGATGGAAGAAGCTTCAAAGACAAGAAAGGGAGAAGCTACAGTGCCCATGCCCACGAGGCTAACTGGAGAGGTTGCACTTGGCCCAGGTAGGAAGTAGGAGGCCCCAGGGCTTGCATTCACAATCCGTGTGTCATATACCGTGGCTGCCCCATCTTTCCATTTCTATGCTCAAGCCCAATGAGCTAGAATTTTTCAGTGACTTGGAAACATTAATTTCCAAGTAATAAAAATAGAGTAGAAGTATTAAACGATCTCTTAGATCCTCTAAAATTCTGACATTCTATGTTTCTCTGATATGTTGATTCAATATTAACTTAGAAGGACAATCATTTTGTTGAAAAAATATTAGACTCCAGCTGACACTGAATCTTCCCGATTGAAAACCAGGTCTGCTTCCCTATAATTTGCTTAAATATTGTTTGTGCAAAGAAGGGCCTATGTTAAAGCATAGCACTAAGAAGCTAAAGCCACTTCAGCATGAGTTCGACCCCCACCTGCACCAGAGGTGACCCACATGACCTGCCCACTGCTCCCCTCAACAGTGTACTTCATTGATCTGCCTGTTCTGCTCCCCACTCTGTCTCTGGTGAATCCTCTCACCACACCTGCGCCTATGGCCTGTACTCCAGTTCTATATGCACAAATAAATAAATCTTAAAAAAAAGGGGAGGCCTATGGAGATGTTTCATATTGGCGAATACTTTTATAAAAACTCTAGGTTCTTCAATAGAACTTTAGTAGAAAAAATATGAAGTCATCTAGGGAAATGATCAAGACATTGATCAGATGATTTTCTTAATTCAAAAACACTAACATTTTTAAATACATTTCAAAACACTCTTGACTCAAAGATCTCTAGTAAGCACTCAACAATCAGCCAAAAGAAAGGTATGACTTATGCATTTCTTTCTTTGCCCTCTCCCTGGAGATCTGAAAATTTTCTGCTGAGTTTCTGGTGTGGGAGAACCTGTGTGGGAGGGGTATCGCCATCAGGTAAGTAGTAATCCCTGGAATTTAGCAGAAGGGATTCTTCTCTTTCCAAACAACTGCATCATTTACTGAAACTGCAGACATTCAACCCTAGAGAGCTCCATAGCTAGAAAAACACTGAAGCAATTCTTCAATTTTGAGGAATCAAATATTAATAAACATTATCCTATTTCATCAGACCACTGACAGACATTTGATTAATGGTAATAAGTCCAGTCATTTTACAGAACTTCACAATTTTCTGATGTTTGACATTTCCACCTATTCTGCAACCATCCCAACCCAGGTAGCTTCATTGTCACTTCAGGAAGCTTACAAGAGAATCTTGGAGAAATTGACACCATACCCACAGATTTTCTAATAGTTCTCAGGGGAAACAAGCCAGCAGGGAGACAGCTGCTTGGGCTCTTGAGAATCTCTATACACTCTTCCTCTCTTAGCCATTCTCTGCCATCCTCACACCATCCTGCCATGCTGTGATAGCCTCAGCTTCCAGATTCAGGTGCGCCCACTTACACACGTCCACAGCATACCCCAGGTGTCCGCCATCAGGCATGTGTGCCCCAAGCTCACACCCTCAAGCGCCTCCTACATTCAAGGTTACAGGTGATAGCCACAGAGGCCAATGATGTGAAAGGCTGAGCCATTTCCTTTTACCCTACAGCCCCTCATTTTACATATGAAGCTAATCAAGAAAACACTAATAGGAGCTCTAGGCCAAACTCTTTGGGCTCTAAACCCAAACTTGAACACTTAGAAGCTCCATTCAGAGCATGTCACTTCAAGTCGCTCTGCCTGGCTTGTAGAGGGTTGTCATGACAACTAAACTAGTTTAATCCACTCCAGGAGGCATGGAGTGTCAAGTCACCTGCCTGATTGTTAAATTGACCAGCAAAGTATTTCAAGTCCACCATGTCCTCCAATCCCACAGTCACCAAGATTCTTGGTAACTGGGATGAAAAGTTGGTGCGCCCCTCTGCCTCCTGAGTGTGAAATCACTAGCCCTGAAGGAGAGTAAATTCAGGTGGGGCCTGAATTTACCCACCTGAGAACACTCATGCCTCAAACGCTTACTACAGCAGTTCTATGAGGAAAATGCATTGGCAAGTAGGTGCCACCTTACCTCTGAACATTTCATCCTTGCTCTGGTAGGTTCGGTACAGCAGGACTATTTCAATCCAGTACTTGTAGAGGAGCACACAGCCCATCAGCACTCCTGCTAGGGTCATGGTGGTCCCAAGCAGTATGTATATGAAGACCACTGGGGAAACACGGCAGCCATGAGCAAATGCAACAACAGCATTCTTGGGCCAAGACCACTTTCAGTCACTGAGGGTCCCTGCCCAGTGTCTTCTCTGGACCTGACATTATTTTAGCAAAATGTCCATCATGAAGCATTTCTCTTGAACCTGTCAATACCTTAAATCACAGCTTGATGGAACCGTCTCACAATGAACTTGAGAGAGTCCAGGAGAATGGCGGTTCCCGATCATGGTAGTTTGGGGAAATGATTATAGATGCTTTAATTTATTTCCTCCCCCAAACTTCCATATAACATAATATACATTTGATTATAGCTGTAACTACTAAGTTCTAAGTTTCCTGAGGCAAGGAGTTCCACCTCCCACACTCCATGTTGCGTGCAGCTGGGTCTTGTGCCCACGCCTGCCGAGGGAAGCTGGTATGGAACATCCACTAAGAATCAGGCACAAATTTTGTCTTAATGAAGGATAACAAATTTATAATTTCCCTATTCAATAATCACCCACTAGTTGGATGAATTATATTATCTTGGGCATCTTCTT